CTGCTGGGCGGGCGGGCTGGCTGTTTGGGAGGCTGGCGCGCGAGGGAGCACTTTCCCCTCAGTGCTTCCTCTTCTGCTCCCTCACGCGCCGCGTAGGGATGCCGGAGCCGGAAGATGACGTCATCTTTCGGCTCCGGTATCAGTGCGGTGCGTGAGGGAGCGGAAGAGGAAGCACTGAGGGGAAAGTGCTCCCTCGCGCGCCGGCCACCCAAACAGCCCGCCCGCTGGAGTCAGCAGGGCCAGCCTCGGGGGGCCCTGAGGTGGCCGGCTCCTGGGCCCTGTGGCTACATACCGGGTCGCAGGGGCGGCCGGGCCCCCTGGTGGGCCGGGCCCGGTCGCAGCCGCGACCCCTGCGACCCTGGTATGTACGTCACTGATTCAAGGGTATGTAAACTTTTGATCAAGGCCATTTGGGTGATTTATGTTATCATTATTATTTAAAAAGGAGCCAAACAACTATGCTATAATAAATGGCTTCATATGATCACTATCCTGCAATGAAAAACATTTCTTTGCATGATCAGTCATATTTTTAAAATCATTGCCAAACTTTTACAATTTCTGCCAGGGTATGCAAACTTTTGAGCACAACTGTATATAATGTATATCATAATGTATGATTGGATTCTTAAAGGAGAAATTAAGCTATCACAAGGCGCTATCACAAAGCACCTTGTTGAAAAATCTATATATATATAAGTATATAAAAAACATAGATGTAGGCTCACCTACAGGTATTTTTCTGATGGATGCAAGGAGTTACCGCGATAATACCGGTGGAAAAAAAACATGTGGGGAGAAAAAAAGCCCAGAGGCATTGTGGGAGCTTCAACCGTACGGTGAGGGGATGCCATGAGTGTGCAGGGAAAAAGATCGAGAAGGAAGTATCACAATCAAAATGGCTGGCGTGAGGAAGGGCAGCAGTGGGGGCAGCGCCAAGGACACATCAAAAATAGACAAAGGGTAAAAAGAAATAAAGAATAGCTGGTAAGGGATAGTAGTGACCATCAATGAGCAAGAGAATAATAAGGTTGAAAACTACAAAGACAAGAGAAATAAAAGTCGCAAAAGGAGCAGGAGCCTAGGGCCACAGTATTGGAGCAGACTCACTTTAAAGGCAGCAACAAAGAAAGAGGATGTAGGAGGGGTTTATTTTGGATACTTATTGTTTGTGATTGGATGACTGTTTTTCCATTTAACTCATTGTTTGCTGCTTGGAGTTTTCCGTAAAGAAAATATGAAGCCTCCTATCTTGTATTAAAATGATATCGTAATCCAGTTTAGACAAGGCAAAGCCAGGGGCACCACTGCAATTAAAGGACCACTATAGTGCCAGGAAAACAAACTTGTTTTCCTGGCACTATGTAGTCCTTAGGTCCCCCTGCCCTCATGGCCCCCCTCCCGCTGGGCTGAAGGGGTTAAAACCCCTTAAGCCACTTACCTTAATTCAGCGCCACTTACCTTAATTCGGCGCTGGTGACCTCTCCTCCCCCTTCGACGATGGGAGCCGAATGCGCATGCGTGGCCAGAGCCACGCGCGCATTAAAAACACCCATAGGAAAGCATTACTCAATGCTTTCCTATGGACGTCAGCGTCTTCTCACTGTGATAATCGCGGATGCGGCCTCCAGTGGCTGTCAGTGAGACAGCCACTAGAGACTGGCTTAACCCTCAGTGAAGCATAGCAGTTTCTGTGAAACTGCTTTGTTTTCAGCTGCAGGGTTAAAACTAGAGGGACCTGGCACCCAGACCACTTCATTGAGCTGAAGTGGCTGGGTGCCTATAGTGGTCCTTTAAAGAAGAGAAATAAAAACATTGTATATTTTCTCTGTGCTGTCTACCAATTGCTTATAATAATGTTTGACAGGGAGCTAAAATGGAGGCCCCAGTTGCAGGACAAAGAAGGATTTCTACATTTACTTACAAGTAAACATAATACAGATAATCCTGAAAACCAGGGAAGAAACAGTTACTCCTTAATACTTAATATCCAAACCTATATTCACACACAGAGACAGTACTATGCATAACTAAACACAGGTATTACTGTTTCCATACAACAGACAAACTATGTGAGGTTATTCATTAAACAGTGAATTGTCGAGAAATAATAATAAAACATACAAAATAAATTGCAACATTTAGACAATTAACTACAATTTGCTGTTTAGTGAATAAACCCCAAATGAGAATGTATGCATACACATGCCCTAAAAAGTATACTATGGTTGCACAACACATAGGGCATGGATCACACAAACGCTAGCGTAGTCATTGTGCACATAACACAGAGCATACAGCAGACTTCCCCCCTCCTCTGCAGCGTGAAGGTGACTTTCAGGCAGGATCTCACATATTGATCAGTCTGAATGCTGCGCCCAGGGGCACAGAGAGACACCCTGCTTACAAATACTAGAGAGAGTTCTGGAATGGGCTGGATATGCTTTGAAACTGTTCTCACAATTCATACAAAACCTATTGCTTATAAAATATTTGACAGAAAAAAAAAGAATTGATGGACCAAAACTGCTCTTCAACAAAATGAATTAAAAAATATAGCTGTGTATTCGGTATTAAGAAACACAATTTTAAATGAAGTTTAGAGGGGTGGAATCTACTGACACACGTGGTTTATTCACTAAACAGGGATCTGCAAAGAATTGGCAAGGGAATGTCTAGGCCAAAAATAGCTGGATTGTAAAAATATCTATCTAATCAAGCTGGTTTTATTTTCTCGCTACTTTGGTATAACATTTCTAATTCTCATGTCAGCTCTCCGCTATTCACTGCTTAGTAAAGAAACTCCAAAGTACCAATTACTCTATAATTATAGAAAGTATAGTGCTAAATAACAAACATGAACTCCTATTGAAGAAAAATCGCTCATTGTTTCAAGATTTTGCCTTACGTATAATAGGATAAATATATTTCAGATCAGCACTTATGTAATGTAACATGCACAACATGCAACAGTAGAGCCACTCTGCACACCGTTGCACTGTGCAATGCCCATACTGTGTAGCACATCTCCCTGCTTCTTCTACCGAAGGTCATGAGACGTGTGTTCTGACGGAAACCAACTCCTGAAGATGTGCCCCACACCCCATGATACACTGACACAGCTGTAAGTGGAATCATTGTGCACAGGTGCCATGGTGTTGCCGCAGAGTGAGTGCTGTCACAAGTGCTGACTGTGTTTGTGCTTGGTATGCGCAGGATGGCGGAAGGGAGGGGGACTCCCTCTGCTCTGCAAGCAGCTCCTGCCTACATTAGGATTCTGTGCAGAGCATCTGGCCTGTGTACAAAATCAGTCTGCAGATCACAAACGAAGCAGGGAAACCCCGGGGATCCGTGACACATAGCAGCTGCAGAGCATTACAAATGCTGTGCAAAAAAAAACAGACTGCATTGCACCACTACCTCTTCATTGACAGACACCCATGGCTGAACATTGCATAAATACTTCTCAGCTAGATGTGCAGGACGATCTCTTTCAGAGATACAGAGTTGTATCAACAGGAACTGGTAGAGTTGCAGAGCATTGCATAAAATATACAAAAAAAACAAACTACACTGACCGATCTGCAAAATGACAGATCTGCACCCTTCAAATGGTAAAATCGCTTCTCTGATAATTAGACCATTAAATAAAACATTAACATTAACCTATAATCACTTGTAACCTGTGTTAACTTTTTTTTTCATGGCATACTTAGTTTTCCTACAATTTTGTTTCAAAGATTTAGTGAGTGACAGTCCAGACACTGCCAATCCACACATTGCATTGGAGGAGGAGTAATAAACAACTGGGTTTATTCACTAGCAAATTAACATCCAAATGGGTAAATTTAGGCTAAAATAGGTGATCTGTAAAAATTCTGATACCGGAGAAACTGACGGAAGCAAAGCACAGAGAGATGGACACAGGTTTCTTCAGGAAGGAAGAGATTCTTTATTGGATCACCGATCGGGACTCAGAGGGACTAATGTCACCAAAAATACAGCAAGTTCTGAGCCCTGAACAATAGTGCAGGCTCCCTATATAGGCACATAACTCCTCCCATATTAAGCTCCACCCGCACATTCTCTTGACCAATCATTACAAATAAGAATTAACTTCCTGCTTGACCGCATGGCTTGTCCAGCACAATGGAGGAGGGGAATACTACATCCTGTATTCTTGCACATGCTCCGTACACTACTGATCGTATCTTGCCTCGTGCAACCAACTGATCGATACGTCAGCATATGCACGTACACATGCCACGTGGTAATCTCGGCCTACTAAATTTATTTTTACCGAGATTCCACCACATTCCCCCCTTTGATGCCTCTTGATATTTTACAATTACTTGAGGCATCACTTAACCTTGGTTTGCATACACCACAAGTTACCTTTGAACCAGACCAGACTTATCCTATGATGTGAATCTTCAACACTCGTCTTCCTGCATTGGTTCTCCCTGATCTAGAGCCTTATATTTATAAATTGCCATTATCTGTGCAGCAGCCTTCCTCTCTGCTATATTTTCTATCAGGCTTTGCACAGACCTAACTACTAAGGGTATAAGACACGGCAGGAGTAGACACAACATTAAAATCAGTAGGACTCCACCTACCACTGCCTTAAGCCCTCCAAACCACTCATACCAGCTACCAAACCAACTACTTGGATTGTACCCTTTCCATACCTGAGTAGGCACATGCGCTAGTTTAACCATATGGCTAGTAAGCTCAGCTATTGCTTGCCCTTCGTCATCTATTTGAAGACAGCAATTGCTCAGGTTAAACTTCCCACATACACCTCCCTCTACTGCCAAAAGATAATCCAAGGCTAATCTATTTTGGTAAACTGCTGTCCTCATCCTGGTATTATGCTTCGCTAGAAGATTGAGCGCTTGTGATGTCTCGTTAGTAATGATCTCAACCACCGCCTGTAACCTTATAATGCGGTTGAGCATATAAATAGGGGTTCTATAACCAAAGGTACCATCCTCTGCCCACGTGGCTGGCCCATAATAATCTATAATACGCTGGGGAGGCCATTCATTATCTTCCCAGGCACCTATCTCTATGGGTCCCCTTTTCTTCCTATGATTCACATCATACACTTTAACACCTAAAGTCTCACCTGTTTCAATAGGCAACAAGAAGAAGGATGGTTTTAACATACCCAACACACATGCCCCTTCCCAGTCCTGTGGTAACTCCGAATAGGCCTTCTTACCACAGATCCAGTACAAATTCGCTGGGGCTCTCCAGTTAGATGTGATGGATAGATCAAACCATACGTCCTTTAAATTGGCATATCTTGCAAACGGGTTAGATGGTTCTGAGACATTTGAAGCCGACCACCAAGTTGTATTCTTTGTATCATCATCATAAGCTTTTTGCCCTAGACAAGTTAATTCTCCTACAGAAGTATTATACATCATTCCTTTCCTCGCTATGCAAACATAACCTATGATGGAGGTCTTCAATCTCCACTCAGATTTACCTCTAACACTCATATGATAGTCGGCTTGTGTAGATATTAATTGGTCAACTGCCTCAGAACCGGACATTACCTCCTTTGCTTCCCAAGGCCATTGGTCTCCCATGTTAGTACCTCCACACACATAGCAGTTGGTAACATTAAGACTACCGGCAATACTCTCGGCTAAATCAATGAACAAGTTTTTAGCATTATGGGGGATCTTATTATCTATGCTCATCTCTTCATAAAAGGAATAGTATACTTGATGAGTTTGGGAGGTTACCGTATCAGTCTCTATCCCTATAAACAATATTGTCCCAGGGTCTAAACCCGTCCCATATATTTGAAACCCAAATAAATTACCATATTTATCTAAGAACTTGTCAGGGTTATTTATAAGTATATGGATTGGATTGCATTCCATAGACTTACAATATGGATCAGTAGGCAACTTAGTCACAATCATGTCCTTGTCTGCTGTCTGTCCCCAAGTCGCCCACCCCACACAAGACCAATATGGGCAGAAGTTATAATCTCTATTTGGGCATCTTGGACTTACATATTTATTTTTACTACTGGGACAAATATATTTATCGTTAGACCCATACGTCCTCTCCCATCTAAGATCCCCACATACATTCCACGGCTTTCTACCACTTGATATTGCTTTACACGCATCAAATAGCAGAGCACCTGAAGAATATACGGATTTTAATACCGTCTTATTAATTAGGGTCCCCTGAGAATCTCCATTTCTGAGAGTCAAACAAATTGTACGGGGTTGATACTCAGGACTGAAGCACTTAGGTTCTCCTACTCCTAAATGACACACACTATATTCTATATTTAAGTATCTACATCTTGATACATCTCCTTTACACTCATATTGCGAATGCCAAATTAGGGTCTGGGATATATGGTTACCTGTTCTTGTAGTCTTAATGCATACCTCACAGCTAGGAGTGTTGGTACCTCTACCTTCCTGAATATAAAAATACACATAAATAAACATTATTAAAAATACATCTTTCGTCGTCATCCTCAGTCTTCGTCCGTGTGAAGGCACCTCAGCTTCCAGGATGTAAGGACTGCAGGGAATGGAGTTCTGCTCGTCTTCACAGGGGTCCCCTCAAGACTTTCCCTGACTTATACACTCGTTGGTGAGTGGACAGGCTTTATTATGGCCTTCTAACTCACTTACCAAGTCTCTGAAACAATAAAATTTGTAATCTACAAGGTTCCTCGTCACTCCGACTGAGTCGTGCGTTTTAACCGGATCTTGCAGGGATTCTCTGGATTTGCTGTAACTTGCCAGGAATCGGCTGCTGCTGGTTTAACCCTGGAGTGATGTATCCACGGAGCCACTTCGGCTACTTTTATCGCTGTAGGGGTAGACAGAAGAACAACATAAGGACCTCTCCACTTGGGCCCTAACGGCACATTATTCCACTCTTTAATCCACACTTGGTCGCCTGGGTGGTAACTATGAATTGGGGGATAAATATTCACAGGTAATCTATCTTGTACCCATTTCTGTACCTCCTCCATAGTCTTACCCAACCCTACAACCTGCTGCCGGGTAATTCCTTCTCCCAACTGACTCAAATCCCCCCCTTAAGTTACCAAGCACGGGAGGTGGTCGCCCGTACATGATTTCAAAAGTAGAGAGGCCCATCCTTCTGGTAGGTGTACTACGGATTCGCAATAGAGCTATGGGCAAGAGAACGTTCCACTTAAGTTGGGTTTCCTGACACATTTTAGCCAACTGATTCTTAATAGTTCTATTCATTCTCTCTACCTTACCAGAACTCTGGGGTCTATATGCCGTATGAAGCCTCCACTTTATACCAAGCATATGAGTCAATTGTTGTAGGCACTGATGAACAAAAGCTGGACCATTGTCCGATCCTATAGAGCAGGGTAGTCCATATCGGGGTATTATTTCTCGTAGCAGGAATCTCACGACTTCTCCTGCTTTCTCTGTACGAGTAGGACATGCTTCTACCCAGCCTGAATAGGTGCACACCACTACCAGCAGGTAGCGATGTCCACCCGATTTAGGCATCACTGTATAGTCAATTTGTAAATCGGACATGGGAAGTCCCCCCATAAACTGGACTCCTGGTGGCTTTACTGGTCCTTGTCTTGCATTATTTTTAGCACACGTTACACATCTACGTACAATGGCCTGAGTCAAGTTGGACAATCTTGGTATGTAGAAATGTTTTCTGAGAGATTCTTCTGTACTGTCTCTCCCAGAATGTGTCCCGTTATGATAGTTTTGGACAATTTCTACCGCTAGTGATGCTGGAATAACTATTCTTCCATCTTCTAACTGATACCATTTGTTCTCCAAATACTTTCCAGGTTCAGTCCTTAACCACTCCTCTTCTTGAGCTGTATAAATTGGAGTCCATTGAGACAGTGGAGTTGGTATAAGAGCAGCTATATGCCCCACATATTCCTGTCTTCCTGATTCAGCAGCACGCTTAGCTGCACTATCTGCCATCCGATTCCCTTTGGTTACATCACCATCTCCTCTCAGATGCGCCCGACAATGTATAATACCGACTTCTTTCGGCTCCCACACTGCTTCCAATAGTTGTAGGATCTCAGCTGCGTATTTGATTTCTTTGCCTTCTGAATTCAATAGTCCTCTTTCTTTATACAAAGCTCCGTGGGCATGAGTGGTTAAAAACGCATACTTGGAGTCCGTGTAGATGTTCACTCTTAAACCTTCAGCCAATTGTAACGCTTGTGTCAGTGCTATCAATTCTGCCTTTTGTGCTGATGTTCCTTTTGCCAGTGGCCGAGCTTCTATCACCTTGTCTATCGTTGTTACTGCATATCCTGCATAGCGGATCCCTTATTTTACATAACTACTGCCGTCGGTGTAATATTGAACATCAGGGTTCTGGATGGGAAAATCACGAAGATCTGGTCTACTTGAAAATACTTCATCCATTACTTCCAAACAATCATGTTGACTTTCAGTAGGTTGTGGCAAAAGGGTAGCTGGATTTAAGGTATTTACAGTCTCTAAATACACTCTTGGGTTTTCACACAACATTGCTTGATACTTGGTCATACGGCTGTTACTAAACCAATGATTTCCTTTGTAATCCAACAACGTCTGTACTGCATGTGGAACTCGTACATAAAGTTCTTGACCCAGAGTGAGTTTATCGGCTTCAGCTACTAGCAGGGCGGCTGCAGCTACAGCTCTTAGACAAGGTGGAAGTCCGCTGGCCACTGCATCCAGTTGCTTAGACATGTAGGCAACAGGTCTTTGCCATGATCCCAAGTACTGTGTCAATACTCCCACAGCCATTCTTCTTTGCTCATGTACATACAGGTAGAATGGCCGTGTGTGGTCAGGTAGACCTAATGCTGGGGCACTCATCAAAGCCCTCTTCACATCTTCGAATGCCGTTTGCTGTTCTTGAGTCCATAAGAAGGGGTCGTGCTCTGTACCTTTGATAGCTGCATACAGAGGTTTTGCCAGTATCGCGTAGCTGGGAATCCATATCCTACAGAAGCCTGCTGCCCCCAAGAATTCTCGCACTTGTCTTCTATTCCTGGGTATCGGTATTTGGCACACAGCTTCTTTTCTCTCTGGCCCCATAATTCTTTGACCTTCAGAGATATGGAATCCCAGATATTTGACAGTTGGCAAACACAACTGAGCCTTCCTTCTTGACACCTTGTATCCTGCCTTCCAGAGAATGTGTAGTAGATCGTGCGTTGCTTGCTGACATACTTCCTTTGTAACTGCTGCTATCAACAAGTCATCTACATATTGTAATAATACACACTCTCCTGGGATAGACTCGAAATCTAGTAGATCTTGACTTAGAGCTGAACCAAATAGGGTAGGTGAATTTTTAAACCCCTGGGGCAATCTTGTCCAGGTCATTTGGCGTTTCGAGCCCGTTACAGCATTTTCCCATTGGAAAGCGAAGATACATTGGCTTTCTGCGGCAATTCGGAGGCAAAAGAAGGCATCTTTGAGATCTAAGACTGTAAAGTAAGTAGCCCCGCCCGGAATTAAAGCAAGCAGGTTATATGGATTGGGCACGACTGGATGTATACTAACAACCGCATCATTGACTGCTCTCAAGTCCTGCACAGGTCGATACTCATCTGTACCGGGCTTTTGAACAGGCAGCAATGGGGTGTTCCAGGGGGAAGTACAGAATTTTAGGATACCATACCGTATGAACTTATCCAGATAAGATTGGATGTTCTTCTTAGCCTTCTGCGGAATATGATATTGTCTCAGGCTTACTGGATAAACCCCAAGTTTTAGTTCGATTTTAATAGGTGGAATATTGCGGGCCAGTCCTGGTGGGTTGTTCTCTGCCCAAACTCCTGGTATGTTAAATAAGGATTCATCACTCCTCGGGTTTTGGCTAGTCAACACTGTATAAAGTCGCCACTCTTCTTCCTTTGGTACGGACAATGTCATAATACCTGAGGGTCCATTAAACTTTAAGGATGTTGTTCCATTTGGTAGGAACGTAATCTGCGCTTGTAATTTGGATAGCATATCACGTCCCAGCAATTGGACTGGACACTCAGGCATATAAAGGAATTGATGTTTTACTACGTGGCCTCCCAATGTACAGAGTCGACTTTTAAGAACCGGTTTTTTCAGCACTTCTTCCAGTTGCTCCTATTACAGTAATAGTTCTTCCAGATGGAGGAGCAACTAGATTAGTCACCACCGAATGTTCAGCACCAGTGTCGATC